GGACCGGTGTGTACTGCAGTATCTGTTTCATAGCCGCGCAAATCTGCCTGTCTTTGGCGACGTCTGGAGGCGGCTAAGTGTGCTTCATGTGTTGTCGACTCCGAGAACTCACGTAGCATATCCTCATAGAGGGCCTGCCGACAAGCAAAAGCACTAAAATATGCCTACTTATTGGAAGTTGGTAGAATGTATTTATTCGTTACATCGCAGAACATTTCCACTGAGTGTGCACGTACTATTGATAGAACTCAAATCTGTTCTAAGCAAACCCTCAAATTCAACAGTGACAAGTTTTAAGCTCAATGGATTCTTGCACGGTCAAGAGCTACAGGTCAATAGACACTGTGTTGAACAAGGTGCGAGATTGTTTTCTTCCAAAGCGCATGACAGCCCACTGCCATGATGGTACCAACATCCACTTGACTGCTCTTTGTTACGTCGAACTGTTATTATTTTCTATACCCTTAGTCCACGAAACTTTTCTGTTATTAAACAAGGACAGCCCCTTATGTAGACACTCAAAATCAAGAAAATACTTTTTTCTGATTGGAAATTCATTGACATGAGTTGCATGGTTAAAATCGCTTTTACGAATCCAATTTACAATAAACCTTAACATATGGCCAAGGAGGGGTTTCAAGGTTAGCACTTTGTTTACAAAATCACAAAATTTACGTGCTCATTAGGTAAGTTGAGACAACATAAATATTTGAAATGAATTAGTGTGCAAGTTTAAGAAGAGTGCCTCACTAGTCTGATGAACAAAACGGTAGATGCAGATGTTTCAAAGACGCCAAATAAGTGCAGAAAAGGTGTTAGGAATGAGGTAGTCCGTGTTAGTGCAGACACTGGCCTATTCGTACACAGAACACAAACCTCTATGAGTTGCTTGTGACAGGAAACAAAACATATGCAACGAAGCATTAATTTTACTCCTTTATTGAAACATTGTAAAGACAGTTTTAGCGTCAAACAAAGTCTAATCAAAGGTAAGCAAGCAACAAGCAATTCATTTACATTATGAGTGTCAACTAAGAAATTAGCGTTGTGTGAATGGTATAGCATTTGGTGAGATTATGCGTCTACTGGAAGTGAACCAAGGTCTCGTCTCACCTGGAGCCGAACACTAGCCCTCTGGGCGCAGGACTCGGAGGCTTGGAGGCTGGCCATTCTGTCATGCAGTGTACGCTGTTCAGCCTCCAATTGAGCAATACGCGTCGCCTGCTCCTGCAAGCGCACTCGGTCCAACTGACTGGCCTCTGACAAAGCTACATTCACTGCCTCCAACTTGATCATCTGCACGAAACAAATACATCCATTTTATTTCATCTAAGTGGAAGTCGGTTACGATTCCTGCGTATCACTTAATCAAGCGGTACCGGCATTTAGTGGAAGGGTACTTGTAAGGTGCGGAAATCGGCGCAATTCCCACCTACAGCAAATGCTTTTAGTTTGTTGTCGAAACCTTAACTACATCTGGATTGGAACTTGAAATGATTAAGAAAGGAAATTCTGCTTAACTGAACACAGCGGATAGCTCGCTATTCACAACTTATACAAGGTAAAAAGCCTCCCTTAGTTTGGACGTCCATGTCATCTTTTAGTCCTGACGTGGTAGTTTCAGAATAATCCAACGACGATATCGGCCTTGAACGTTGGCTGCTCGTCGATCCAGTGTCCATGGTTGCTAGGAGACGGCGTCTCAGTGCGGCCTCATTGCGGCGGGAGGCTGTGAGGGCCGCTTCGTTGGCGCGATTAGCGGCTTGCGCTTGGGAGAGAGTGGAGGACAGCTCTGCCACTCGCCTCTCGAGGTCGACTCGGCGTTTCTCACAAACGCCCAATTGGCCCCGCAAGCCCTCGACCTCGGACGAGCTCTGCAACTGACTGAACTGCGCGGAATAGTACTCGGGCGATGTGACATCTAAAACAGGGTCGTCTAGAGGACATGAAACAAAGCCGATATGAGAACAGAGGTGACACCTAATTGCCCTCTTCAATGCACCCGAAATTCGGGTACTTACATTTAATGCTCGCCCGAGAACCAGTTGAAAGGAGAGAATTTCTTAATCTAAAAAAAAGGCAAAAAATTAGTCACTATTTTTGTTTCTCGAAAGTGAGAAAACCTCATCATTAGGGGATGTGATTTTATCCAAACCTAAAGCCCCCCATCTAGCTCGTAAAGGGAAGATTAGTTCGTGTTTTTTTTTTCTTTTTGAAAATGCAGCGACACTCGACAGAAGCACACAAATCTGAATGCAAAATGCAGGAGTTTGGGTGAATGCTCATCTGAGGCAAAAAAAAAAA